AAACATGGATTTGTGAAACTAACCTATGTTTTAAAATGCTGGTTACTTTAATAGTTACTAAATTTTTATTTAAAATTGGAGGCTCTATCATACTTTTTTTTTCTTATTGAAATTCAGTGTTTTAACCCCCCTCTAAAGTCATTCTTAAGTGGTATTACTATTAGTACTCGCATATATTAGGTCTTTGCTCTGCTCTTCAGGATTTCCAGGTGTCTGTTGAAAATACGGTAATATGTTGGATACAGGCCATAAATTTGTGTTCCAGTCAACAATTCCATCTGGAATTCAAAGTCAACAGACACAATCTGGAGCTGTGGAATCCATTTGAAAAAGATACCTTCTGCTCTGGAGACCTTCAAAGTCAACTTGCCATCTTGGACAAAGCAATGAAAGGAACAGTGTTCACTTATTTGGGTGGCATTCCAGGTATCTGTTTACTTTTTCTTCAGTTCTAAAATGTATATTTAATCAAATTTATAGTATTTTCATTGTGTAATTTTACTAAAACAACATCATCTGGGAAGACAAAATTTCAGTATACATTATTATTTTTCTGAGAGCTTGTATTGACATTTTATTGGTACATTTCTGTTCATTTGTTTTGTGTGTGTGTGTTTTAAGCATGAACTTAAACTCATCAAATTTTGCTACATTTGGCTAGCCTATCCAGAAAAGACTTATTCTTTTATTTCACCCTCACAATAGCCTTGTGAGTTCAATATTAATTCTTCATCATTCTTCCAGTATTTCTTAAGAACCTATGTTCTAGGCACTCTGGACACAGTAATAAACAAATAGATATTGTCCCTGATGTTAAGGTCCTTACAATCCAGTGGGAGAGGCAGACATTAAACAATTGATTAAAAAATTCCAAATTATTAAAATTGTGATCATTGCTATGAAGAGAAATGTGAGTTGCTTTGAGAGTCTGAAAATAGAGACCTGACCTGCTTGTTAAGGTCCAGCAAAGACTCTGAAGAAGTGACTAAGATGTAATTCTAATATCTGAAGAATTAGCCAGGTGATGGGGGTAGAGATTGCGATTAGTATGTGTCTTAGGTTGCGTTCCCTAGAAAAGCAAAACCAGTAAAGTGTATAACTATATATAGAGAAAAATTTATATTAAGGAAATGGCTGATGCAGTTATAGAGGCTGGAACGTGGGTCACGCTGAAGGCTTCTCCTGATTCATGTAGCTGCCGTGTCTGGCAAACCCAAGATCAGCAAGTCAGACAGTAGGGCTCT